CCCAGAAAAAAAAGGTCTTCTCTTGGGGAACAGAGCACAAATGAGTCTTAGTAAGCCAAATTCTCTCATCAGAATCTTGGCCTTTCCTGGCCAGATATCCCTATTTCTTCCTGCTCCTCTACTCAACCCCATGACTTTTTTTGAGATCAAGAGGAACAAGAATCACGAAGCACCACCCTCCTTAAAGGTTTCTTTTCAAAATAACTCTAGGTTCTATTACCCAACACCACTTGCTCTAAAATGCAGTCTATGGGCATTCTACCAGTGGCTATAGCCAATGATGGGCATTTTAGCTTTTGCCCCAGAAAGCTCTGAAATGGATCAGAAGAGAATAGTGGTTAAGTAACTTCAAGGCCACAGTACACCTAAAGGCAGATTTTACTCAATGTCATGGACAAGGACTTGCTCTGTATCCCATATATTTTGACTGGTCCAAGGTTTCTAGACACCTTCCCATGTCAGCCAGCAGTTCTGTCCTCCTGAGCCGCTACTCTGAATTCTCTTGTATTCAGGCATATATTCATGGCACTAGAAATAACTGCTTTTCCAGGCAGCATACTGCTGGGCCCCTGGCCTCATACCTGGCAGCAGCTCCTGAACGGCCGACAGTTCTCCCTGTGTCCCGGCCCTATGGCTGCGCCGATGCTGCCGGAAGAGTTTGACGTTGGAGCCAATGAAGCTGCAATGGTTGCAGTGGAAAGGGTAATGGGCCTGTCGGTGCAGCTCCATGCCCTGTTGGCTCCCAAAGAGCAGTGGGCAGCCCCGGAAAGAACAGGGCACAGGAACCACTCTGTGGGTCTGCCTCAGGTGGTGCTGCAGACCCTTACGATCTTCAGCGGAGAAAACACAGCCAGACTCTGGGCAGGAGAAGGTGTCAGGAGTGCCCCGGTGAATCTTGAAGTGGCTCTTCAGGGCCTGGGGTTGGGCAAACTCCTGTCTACACACAGGGCATGGCAGGGAGCTATCTGGTTGGCTCTGGCCCTGCAGAGGGCCGGAGAGAGTGAGGTTGCTGGGAGGCAGCTCTACAGAGCATGGGGGGCTAGAGAGGCCCTGCACAGGCTGTATAAGGGTCTCAGTGCACTGGTGCAGGGCCAGCAGAGTGGGCTCTGCGAAGCTCTGCTCACAGCGCTCACAGAAGTACACCTCCACCACCTTTACCAGGACACCTGCAGGTAGAGGATTGACAGAGAAAGCCACAGAATCAGATGGAACAAGACTCAGAGAAGTTAGTTACTAGCAGAAAACATAGGTGAATATTTTAATATTAATGGAATGGAGATGGACTTTAAGTCTGATTCTGCACCTGGACCATAAACCCCATGAGGGCAGGGACAGTCTACTGTGCACATGTGTTTGGATTCCCAGTATCTAGCACAATACTTGGTACGAAGTAGGTACTTAATAAATATTTGTTAAATCAATATAACAAGTATTAACCAAAATCCAGAAAGCATTAAAAAAAGGCAATATATTTTGCTCCCAAATTAAAAACTTCCCCAAAAAAGAAAATGACAATCTGGGGATAATATCTTGCAATACAGACGACAAAGTGTTACCTTCATATTCTGTAAAGAGATTTTCGTAGGTACAGTAATTCATAAAATGGAGAACATGCTTTTTGAAAGGAATCAAATCTTGTTCATAATAAAAACTACCATTTCTTAAGCAAGCAAGGCAGGACCTTGACAAAGAAAAGTTCAGGAAACACTTCCTTGGTCCTCCAGCTGTCCTTTGAAAAGGACTTGGGATTCTGTGAGGTTAAGGCCACCATGTTTGTTAATGGTGGAGCCATTACTCAAGCCCATTTATTCTGGTGGTCTTTGCTCTTTATAATTTTTGTTTAAATATTCAGTGCAACAATTCAAATCATACAGACATATATAAAAAAAGAATACCCATCCTGCCATACACATGCAGTTTTGTCTAAATCCTTTCAGATTTTCTTGGGTCATTTTTCTGCAATTTGCTAATTTTTTTACACTTGCTATATAGCAAAGATACTTTTATCTATGAGTACAGTTTTTTTTTTTTTTTGGTCCAATTCATAGTACTTCAGACCATGGGTAAATCAAAATGAAATTTTGCCCTTACTGATGAATATTTGGGTTGTTTCCAACCATTACAAAGAAAGCTAGCCTACACATTGTTATCCCCATATCCTTGTATATGTGTGTGAGTCTTTCTATGAAACAGATCCCGACAAGTGGAATTACTGGGTCAAAGTATGCACATTTTAAAATTTGTTATGTAGATAAATTGACCTTATACTCTCCATAAGCTATAAAATAGTGTCTATTTCCCCACTGCCTCATCAACACTAGGTATTATAAAAAATGTTCGATTTTTGCCAAAACAAAAATAACATCTCATAGTTATTTTTTAACTGGAATTTATGTGTTATTGAGATTAAACATTCTTAGTTATTATTTTTATTTCCTCTTTATTGCATTTCATGTAGATTCCCCCTACCCCTTTTAAATACTGTTTCTTTTCCTTTTGTGGAGCTCTTTAAACTCTAAAGATAGTAACTCTTTCTTACACATTGCAAATGTTTTTCCCAGGATCATTTTTTATTTATTATTTATTTTACCGCATAGAGATTTAGAAATATTATACGATCAAATTAGCTAATCTTTCCCAATATTCTTTGTACACTGCCAGAGGAAGTTGTAACAACTGTAGCTGGAAGATGGCAGTTAAAAAACAGGGAAGTTACTTAAAAATGAGAAGATGTAGATGTAGGAAGAATAAAGGGGAGAATCTTCTGGCTCTTTCTTCCAGCTCTTAACCACATGCCTTAGATGAGGTAAATATGTTATACGCAAGAAACTAGGGCAGGGAAATACCAGACTGCCTCGGGGAAGCTCTGCCAAACCTAGGGTGGTAGAGGCTAGACCTTTTGCCCAATCCCTGGCTGAGTTCCTGGGTAGGAGGGTCAATATGGGGGAAAAGAATCTCTAAGGACTACTGGAGTAAGGATTGGGCAGAGGTGTCAGAAAGGTTTTCCCTTCTGGAATACTGCCTAGCAGACATAAAGCCCTTGCAGGGATAGACTGCCAAGAGCTTGGTACAAGGTTGTGCACCACCTTGCCAGCCTTCAGTCAACATTTACCAACTGCAAATCAAATTACGTCTCTAAGTATAAAAATAGGATGCTACCTTGTGTTCTCATCATATTTATATAGAAGGATCAGAAATAGCACAGGCAAAATCTCGGGGCTGTTTGTCCACTGTCTGCTAACCACCATGTTTGTACCTGGGGTCTCTCCAGGAGCACCTGGGGACAGGTTTCCAGCTACTGCTTCTACAATGATTTCCATGTTCCCTGTGTCCTCTTCAGTTGCTGTGGCCTCTACCAGCAGGCAGCCTGGGTCAGCAGGCAAAGATGAAGGGTTCCCGGAAGGACAGGGGCTCTGGATGGGCTCCAGGATTCCAGGGTTAGAGAGAGGTGGGGGGATCAGCAATAGCTCAGGACACAGTCCATCCATCTCCCCAGTGCTGTTGGCAGGCTGGGAGTCCAACACAGAATCTGTCATCACCACCAACTTGTGTGCTGTGGTCTCTGAAGTGCTGATAAACCAACCAAAAGAGAAACCAAACAAAATATAGTTAGATCTCTCACTTTCTTCCCAATTGCTGTGGGTGAACAGACTTGTGCCTGCACACTTAGCATTTCCTTGTATGGCAGCATGGCATGTCTAGTCAACCTAGAAGTTTTCTTTTTATGACAATGTCTAGAACAAGAAAGTATAAAAATTATAATAGGGATCAATTATTAGGAGATAGCCAACAAGTTTTGGCCAATATCTTAAAGACTACAGATTATGTCTTTTTGGAGCTAAGGGACTTTGGTCAAATCATTAAGCAATCTGGGTCTGTTTTCTTATCTGCAACAAAATTGGGTGGGGCCAAGTGATCCCAGAGGTTTCTTTTCCTCTTAACGTTTTTTTATCTTACTATTCCTTAGCATGGGTAAAGACCCTTCCTTCATGATCTGGTCCCTGCTGACCTCTCCAGATTCATCTTCCACTTCTGCCCTCAACAGATCTCTGAACCAGTCATTCCCCAAACTCGCTATATTCTCTTTTGTTGCTATACTTGCACACATGCATATCTGTCTCTGTCTCTCAACTTGATGGGCTTTCCCCCCTTCTTCATCTTTCTTGTCTGGCTAACCAACTCCTAACTATCCTTTCAGAATCTGTACACATGTCACTTCCACTATGAAAGCTTCCTGACAGATTAAGGCAGAAAGAAGGCCTGGGGTATGAATGAGACCTGGCCTGTGGACCAAGGCACCCGGTTTCCACCTGTCTGTGGGCTGACTCACCGCATGGATTTGGACAGTCACCTCGCTTCTCTGGACCTCAGCTTTCTTATCTGTAAAGTGGAGGCGATGACAGCGTCCACATCATTGAGCGGGAGCGGGAATCATAAGAGCCGACGAATGGGAAAGCCGATTATAACCTGCAAGGCTTGAGATGGAGCATCGTCATGATTACGGTCCTGAGGAAAGGCAGCGGACAACCGGGCGGGGTCCAGGGCAATGACGCGACTGAGGCACCGCGGCGGCCGAGGTGATGCACCGGGGCTCCGCTCTAGGCGTGCTCCCTTCAGCACCTTCCCCCCGAAGGTTCCCACTTCCCAGGCCCGCCTTCATCCTGGGGCTAGAGAAACTTTTGCCTCCAGCCCGCTCCACCTGCATTCACTACTAGTCAACCCAGCAGCCGCTCACTCACCTCCCGGCCCAGGACCAGCGGGAGCCGCATCTCTATGGTCTACAGAAGCCGGAGCGGCCTCCCGGGACGCCCTTTATGCGACCGCCTCCGGCCCAGCGGCCTCTATGGCATCGGGCATTTGGAGGCTGCTCTCTCTTCCTCAAGCGGAGCACTCTATGGTTTTCTCTATCGTTTCTCCTCCTCACCTCCCCTCGCTGTGAAGCCTGAGAAGTACCATCGAGAGTTGTGGAGCAGAGTGGCCGGGCCTCTGTGGTGGGCGTGGCGGGAAGTAGATGAAAGAACTCGGTGGCGGGGCCGAGCGGCGCTTCCCTCGAGTGCAGAGGAGTGAAACCATTGAGAGGGAGGGCCAGAGAGTCATGGCGGTAAGGGGCGGTGTGACCGATTACTTCAAACCATGTTGCTCGAGGCGCGAGCTGGGGCGTAGAGGGGGTTCGCAGGGGGCTTATGGGCGTCCGACAGGGACCCGGAGCGGATAGGGCTTTGGCTGTGGCCTTCCATGCATAGGCATTTTAGAATTTTGGGTCCAACTCTGAGCCTCAGTCGAGGTCACTGCTGTCATTTCACCACCTCGCGTGCCAGGCTCAGAGCAAAGTGGTAGAGAGCTAGGGAGGGTACTAGAAACGATTTGGCTTTCTACCCCTCAGGATCTTACGGTCTAGAATTAGACCCGTTTTATTGCAGAGACTTCTGGAAAATCTCCATGAAGAAAGCAGCAGATGGGCAGTACTTCAGTTGGAGAAAATAAATTAGAATGGGCTTCCGAGTCGAGAGAACTGCTTGGGCCAGGAGGTGGGAGGTGGTTTGCATATTTGTTCAACAGGGAGTTAGTTCTAGGAACTAAGCCATGAAAGGTAGATGGGCGCCCTGTTATAGAGGGCTTTGAGTGCCAGGCAGAAGAGTTTTTACCTAATTCAGTGGTCTTTTGTGAGGTGTTGGAGTAGGGATAGTAATAGGATTGAAGCCATCTTTATGAAGAAGTACCTGGACCCCAGTATAACAGTTTGGTGAGGCTAGAGGTGGGGATCCATTAAGATGTCGTTTCAAGAAAGAGCTAAAATTAATTCTAAAGAGACAAGCCCGTTACATTGTTCTCTCGGGATTAAGCAATCTCCAGACATAGTCTTCTGGCAGAAAACAGGTATGAACAGGATAATGAAGGGCAAAATGGGACTAGGGGCTAGGAGTCTCAGCCCTTGCATTCCAACACCATGGCCACCCCACAAAGGGAGGACATTGAAGCACCCAGTAGCTGACCTGTCTTTCCTGCTCCCAGCTTCTGAGGAGGGAAGGCTTGCGGAAGGGAGGGGCTTTGGAATCTAATTGCTAAACTAATCTTGTGCTTTGTCCCATCTCTACTGCTCCCTATCCCCAGGTTTTGAAAATGCCTCAGGGCCTGTAAGGTTCGGTGTTTCCCTTTCAGGATGCCCCTCTCAGACTTTATTCTGACCCTGAAGGACAATCCCTACTTTGGGGCTGGATTTGGGCTGGTGGGTGTGGGTACAGCCCTGGCCCTGGCCCGGAAGGGTGCCCAGCTGGGCCTGGTGGCATTCCGGCGTCATTACATGATCACACTGGAAGTCCCTGCTAGAGACAGGAGCTATGCCTGGTTGCTTAGCTGGCTCACCCGTCACAGTACCCGTACTCAGCACCTCAGTGTCGAGACCTCGTACCTTCAGCATGAGAGTGGCCGCATCTCCACTAAGTTTGAATTTGTCCCCAGCCCTGGAAACCACTTTATCTGGTAAGGTTGGGAGCCAGGGAGGGCTGTGAGAGTAGAAAAAGAGAATGAGGGGAGCTGGGTGTGACTCATTCTTTCACCCCATTTTGACCATTCTTATTCAGGTATCAGGGGAAATGGATCCGAGTGGAACGAAGCCGAGAGATGCAGATGATAGACCTGCAGACGGGGACTCCATGGGAATCTGTCACCTTTACAGCTTTGGGCACTGACCGCAAGGTTTTCTTCAACATCCTGGAGGAAGGTGTGGGATGATGGCATAGGCAAGCTCTATGGCGGTTTGTAGGAATGGGGGCATTTGACATCAGAAGAAGAGAAGCTTGGAGGATCTGAGCCCCTGGGAGCAAGGGCTGAGGGAAGCTATTCTGGCACAGCTCTGCCTTAGTGGCATGGCAGAGAGGAATGTTGGCTTTGTCTCATCTTTTCTCTCCCAGCTCGAGAGCTAGCCTTGCAGCAGGAGGAAGGGAAGACAGTGATGTACACAGCCATGGGCTCTGAATGGCGCCCCTTTGGCTATCCACGCCGGCGGCGGCCACTGAATTCTGTGGTTCTAGAACAGGGTCTGGCCGATCGAATTGTCAGAGACATACGGGAATTCATCGATAACCCCAAGTGGTACACTGACAGAGGTGAGATGCAGCTGGAGTCTTGGCCATGCTGTTTTGGGTGTGGTGTTAGAATATGAGGAAATCAGGTCAGTCTCTGTGGCCAGATGGAGTGAATAAAGTTCTAGCTCAGTTCCCAGAGATAAAAGGGAAAGTTGCCTATAGGGATGATTTCTTCCAATACCGAGGTCCACAGGTCTTCAGGGAGTAGGGTGAGGAATGAATGTGGACATTTGGGGCAGATTGATTGATTTTAGGTCTTGATTATCCTGGCTGTATTCCTAGGCATTCCCTACAGACGTGGCTACCTGCTTTATGGGCCCCCTGGTTGCGGAAAGAGCAGTTTTATGTGAGTAGTCAACATTTCTCTTAACTCTCAAACTGAAGAAAAACTGGGTCGTTAAGATTGGAAAGAGAAATAAATGTGGGGAACAGCGCCAGGATAAACATGAGACCTGTGGAACATTAGGGTGGAGTAGGGGAAGGGATAGGCCAGAGACATACCTAGTACAGTGAGGAACGAGCAGCTGGGCCCAATTTCCCACTGCTAAGAGATTCCCATGTTGCCAACCACCTGTTCTCCCATCCTCCATAGCACAGCCTTGGCTGGGGAACTGGAGCACAGCATCTGCCTGCTGAGTCTCACAGACTCCAGCCTCTCTGATGACCGGCTCAACCACCTGCTGAGTGTGGCCCCGCAACAAAGCCTGGTGCTCCTGGAGGATGTGGATGCTGCCTTTCTCAGTCGAGACCTGGCTGCGGAGAGTAAGTGAGGGGAGTTGAGGGATGTTTCTAAATGAGAGATGGTTGAAGAAAGTAGCAATCTAGAGGATGCTTGGCTTAGCAACAAGAGCCCACGAGAGGCACAGATAAGTAGGAGAATGTAGAGGGACAGAAGGGGCTAATTTTAAGTAGGGCTATGACCAGCCACCCATGCTTCTTTTTCTTTGCCTTCTAGATCCAGTCAAGTATCAGGGTCTAGGTCGTCTCACCTTCAGTGGACTGCTCAATGCCTTGGATGGTGTGGCTTCCACTGAGGCCCGCATTGTGTTCATGACCACCAACCATGTTGACAGGTAGGAAGCAGTGAAGTACTACTCTGAGATTGTGAGGCCAGATTCCACCACCTCAGTGCCTTGGGAGGATCAGGAGGGTCAGAGGGGACCATTATTTTAGGTACCAGTGATACTACTGCCCATGACTTTTTGCTGCCTTGGCCTCTTAGACTGGACCCTGCCCTGATACGCCCTGGGCGAGTAGACCTGAAGGAGTATGTGGGCTACTGCTCACACTGGCAGCTGACCCAGATGTTCCAGAGATTCTATCCGGGGCAAGCACCTGCCTTGGCAGAGGCCTTTGCAAAACGTGTCCTTCAAGTTACAACTCAGATCAGTCCTGCCCAGGTGCAAGGCTACTTCATGCTGTATAAAAATGACCCTGAAGGAGCAATTCACAATGCTGAGTCCCTGAAGAGGTGACAACTAGGCGGTGCAAAGCTCTCCTCCTCTAGGAGAATCAATAAACACCTGCCACACTACTCTGGTCTCTGACCTCCCTTCCTCCCGCTCTGTATTGGTACTTGCCTAAAAACCATGGACTGCAATCACAGATGCCTACAGGGGCCATCAGGTGTGAACATACACAAGTGCTAGCAGTATAGCCTAAGACAAAGGGGAAAGAGGAGACACTGTAGTAAACAGAAAAGTATAATCTTCCACCTAAAGAATCCCTTCCAAATTGTGTGTGTGTATGATGTAGGCATATATAACGTTGTATACAGTGGGTTACCAAGCAAGGTGTTTCCTGCACATTGGTATAGACTAGTTTTCTCTGAAACCCGCTAAAGTAGCTAAGATGTCAGATCCCTCTTGACCCAGACCCTGATCTTGTGGGAGAACAGACTTCGGGGAAAATCTGGGGCTCCTCTGTCACACTCCAGCCTTGCTAGGAATTTAGAAAGACAGCCATACTTCACAGGCTAGGCACTACTGAGCAAAGAAGCCAACCAAGGCCAAATCTCTTTATTTCCCCCACTCCCACCCCCATTTCCCTCTCCCCCGTCAGTACTGCTAGGAACCATCCTCAGATTCCAGGCTCAAGGTCTCCCTTCGAGTACCAGGCCGGTAGGCTCCCCGACCCCGAGGCAGGCGAGGGTAGGAAGAACCCGGTGTCCGACCCTTGGAGCGCTCCCAGCGAGCACAGTCCCGAGTCCTGCGGGGTGGGGGACCGTGCCAGTTGCCAGGCCCCTTTTCCTGGGAAGGACCTTCAACCCCTTGGTTATGGGGTTCTGGCTTTATGTCCATGGGCTCCTTGAGGGGCCCCTCAGGAGGTGGCAGTTCCTGGGTATCATTGGTACCTTTGGAGACATTGTACTCCCCTCCCTTTAAGTGCTTCCGTTCAGGCTGTCTGCAGGGGCCTCGACTGGCCCGGGGGGGATCTAGCATAGCTTTCTGGGTCTCGCCCAACTTCTGCTGATTTGGCTCAGCCCTTGGAATCTTCTCGCAAGTGTACTGGGAGGCCACAGGCAGAGGAGCTGACAGGGTGGGTTGGGCAGTTGATGAAGTAGATAGTTCTGTGGCAAGGGAGCTGGGTGGCTGGGCTCCTCTGGAGGCATCTGCAGCTGAATCTGGTTCCACAGGGGCAGGAGGCTAGAAAGAAGTGAGATGCAGTGAAGAAGATGCAGCGTGAAAGCAGTTAACTACAGGTCCCTTGCCCACTAAATGAGCCAACTACCATCAGTCTAAAACTTCCCTGGGTAGAACAGAGCTCACCCTATGGCCATGGCAGAGGGGTGTTGGTAGGAAGGTTGGTGTCATTAGGGGAGGTGTGGGAAACCCTTTCCTCACCTGCTGGAGACTGATGAAGTACCGGTTACGCTCAGCCTCAAGGTCAATGATGCCCCCCCTCTCCTGCTGCCTCTGGTAGAGCCGCTTGCGCTCTTCTTGCTGGCGCAAGCTCTCCTCATTGGGCTGGTACAGCTCCTGAAAGGAAGGGCACAGATTGGCAGGGGGAACGAACAAACAGAAGGCGGCAGACTTGAGCCCCTACTCTTCCAGGACTGCTTCAGGAGGTCTGCATAAGGTCCTTGGTTTTATCCCTCAGATTTGGGCTCCCGAGTGAAGCCTTGGGCTCCCAATGGGAGCTGTGGCTTTGCAGAGAGGTCCAAGGCAGGTCGAGCCCAATTCCAGAGATCCCACTCGAGGTAAACAAGATGCCATTTCTCCCTCCTTGGAAAATGCCATTATTTCTGGTTCAGATTAGAAGGGAGTTCTCTTACCATGGGCTGTTGGGGTTCAGGAGCTGCTTTCAGTGAGGCAAGATCATACACAAGGGGCTCTCTGCACACCGGACACTGCACACCGACTGCCTTCTAAAGAGGAGAAATCACATCCCTGCTTCATAGCCCAGGGGGATCCCCAGCTGCCCAACCCAGTCAGCAAGCCTAATCTATAGAGGGCTGGGACAGAAGGGCACAGGCATACCTGTTCGGAAGTGAGGTGGGGCAGAGCAGGGGTTGCCTAGCTAGAGGCCTGGAACCCTCTGAAACTACATGCAGTACGATTACAAGTATATAAAGATGCTCTTTTTCTAAAGAGGTGAGCATTCATTAATCTCAAAGGGATCTATGACCCTTAAAAAGTTAAGAGCCACTGGACTGGAAGAAGAGAAAAGGCTGGAGAGTCAGTGGTGCCAAATGGGAGCAGGGACTGGTGGGTCAACCTGTTTGGTTGTGGCATGCTGCCGTTCCTGTTCCTGCTCCTGTCCTTGAACCTGCAGCTCGTGCTCCATGTGCTGGATGTACCGAGCAAGGCAGTGGCAATGGAAGTAGTGGTAACAGGGTGTTTTCGTAAAGGCCTCATTTTCCTGGAGGGAGGATGGATGTAGGGCATGATGTTGAGCTCTTTCACAAGCCCTCCACTGCCCATCCCAAGCAGAACCCAGGTCCCAAGAGAGAGACCCACCTGGAAATCATAGAGGCAGATGACACACTGGCCATGGGGGATATTGTTATCTGTGAGAATTTCCTTTCCTTTCTGAGAGGAGAGAAGACACTGTTCAAACAGGGAGGCAGCGGCAAGAACTGAATACTACTCCCAGGAGTGACTGGCTGGATGATCATCAACCAAGCCAGTCTGTTACCTCGTGTCCATGCTTTTCTGTCTTGGTGATGCTCCCTCTGCTTGGAATCAACCTTGCTCTAAGTCCCCGCCCCTCCTTCCAAGTCAGCCTGGCTTCAAAATCCAATTTAATAATTTCCCCACTCATTTAGTCACCTTTAATAGCTCTTGGAAATGAAAACAATACAGAGAGAAAAGTAATGTTCAATTAAAACATACTTTCTAAAAAAAATTTTTTTAAAAAAATACATCTTCTGGAAGGCCTTTCTTTCTTGGTTGACTCCCTTCGAGCATCACTGAGTTGTTCTGGAGTAGGCTTTCAGAAAAAAGTCAAGGCATGGACAACCCAAAAGAGCAGAGAATTCAAAAGGCATCGAGTTGAGCTGTGAAATATGCATTTGCACTGTGATTTGAATAGCTAATGTTCTGGAATTCCCCAAAGTTCAAAGCTGCATTGTGGAGGCCTGACTCAAGAGTGATACAGTGGTCTGTCTATGCCCAGTCTCTGCCACCAGGCCACTCACTTTCTTTCTTTTCTAAACATTCTTAAAAATGCAACGTAGAGGAAAATAAGACTACTTGTGTTTTTAATCTCAAATAGCAAGTGTTATCTGTGTATTAGACTGTAGCTCCAGGTGTTGCTTCATCTGGGTTGTTTCCTTCAGTAGGATAGAAACTGAGTAAAAGAACCATGAGTTTTTCTAGTCAGCTCTAATGGCAGACTAGCTTTCAGGTGTTCATCTATGGCAAAGACCCTCCAGGCAGGGTTCCATCTCTTGCTTCTTTCAGTTCCCAATGCCAAGAGAACAAAAAATGCACGGAAACTGAAGAAAAATGCAAGTTAAAGGGGAAAAGTAGGTTTCTGTCGAGATGCTGGAATAGGAAACTTGGGAAAGCTACACAACTGTCTTTTGGGGAGATTTTTTGAAACACAAGAGTTTCATCTTTCTGGATTGATTGAGACCTTACCTAAACAAGAACTAAATGAATAAATCCAGGTATATTCAAAATTCTAGGTCGATGGCTTCCCCTGAGAGAAACTGCTCTAGCTTGAAGGGAAGGACATCTCCCCAGGCTAGGACACCTCCTACCTCAATGAGTTCATAGAGCATGGCAGCGCCCAGCCCAGCCTTGGCCACTTGGCTCAGCGCCTGTGAGATCCTAGAGGAAGAAAGTAAAGCAAACATTAGGCTCGCTCCCTTCCCTCGCCAGACTGAGCTGTATTCTGAGTTCTCCCTGCTCTGACCAGCCCACTTACTTGTGGATCTGTTCATCTGAGAGTCCTCGGGGGTTACGGATAGAGATCTGTGGCACCTCATGGGGATACTAGTAGAAAACCACAAGTTACTGCTAAAGCACTTCATCCCAGGGCCTGTCCCCTTTCCCTTTTGCTGCCATGAGCTATGGACCTCACCTGTGCTGGGACCTGAAGCACCAGAGTGAAGCAGACATACTGTGAATCCTGGTCTTCTGCTGTGGCAGGATGCAAGGTGATGTAGACCTCCCATGGTGAAGATCTGCAGGTAGATGAAGTGGAGACCTGGGATGTGACTGGGCAGGGGCTTGAGGGCTAGGCAGGATGGGGGTGAGACAGCAAAGCAGGCAGAGGATGTGAGCACTGGAGTCACTCTTTTGGAGGATGAGGATTAAAGGAACAGTCTTTGTGTACATTATCTCCGAATCAAGGCACACAGATTCTGCATGGAATCTTATTACTAAGGGGACTCCTGCTCACCTTTAGTTGAATACATACCTGCCATTTCCTTTGACCACCTGTAGTTCATCCAGATAGATAGATTCTAACACCTCGACTTCAGAGGGAAGGACCCTAGAGAGACAGGGGAGATTGACTCACCATTACGCTCTCCCTGTTAAAGCCTACTAAGGCCAATGAAGGCTAGCTTTGTAGAAAAGCAGCATCCTGCCTGACTGCATTCTCTTGCTAACCTTCACAAAAATGGGGGAAATATGTTTCAAGTTGTCAAATGGCCAGGTAGGAATCATGGAAATCAGAGTTTTAGAGATCACTTCTGCCAACAGATGAGGAAACAGATTCCCAGAAGGTGGAATAACTAGCCCAAATCTCAAGGCTTAACAGAAGCAGAACTTGGACCAGAGCCTGGTTTCCTGATTCCCTCCTTTGAGTTTCGCTGCACTGTTGGTTGTTCTTTAGAGATCATCTCTCTGATCCGCAAATATGACACCCACTGATTAACTTTAAGGTTACCAGTACCACTCGGCTTTCCCT